AGTTTGCAGCTGGCACAAGGTAAGAGATTTCAGTTATGCTGGGGACAGAACGAGAATTCAGAGTGATCTCAACAAACTGGAAAAGTAGTCTGGAAAAAGTCAGATAAAATTTTGTATGAGTAAGTTCAAGAACACAAAAATAGTGAATAACCAGCTGCTTGGATGCAGGGTAGAGAATAATTGCCTAAATTGTTCAGAAGAGAATTTGGGGTAATTGTGTGTGTATCTCAAGATGAATATAAAATAGTTTATAATCCTGTTGTTAAAAAAAAAAAAAAAAAAAACGGGAAAATCGACATATTCTGGGATTGTTGGATACAGGTTTATAAACTGCCTTCAAGAATACTGTGGACCTATTGTAGGTAGTCCAAAGGATACCAAAGGATAGCAATGGATATTATCAGAGAAACTGTTAGAGAAAGCATGATTTCTAGGGAAAGTAGAAAGCATTGCTCTTAAGTCTGAAAAAGATAAGGACACTAGAGTAGGAAAAGGGAGGATAACTCTTTATGCAGACTAAAAATGGGTACAGAGATGAAAGTCATAAGCTAATTCCCATGTTTCTAGTAGAGTGGAAAAGAAGATATGGATTTAAGCTGCAGCATGAAATGCTCAAGTTAAGACTCTAAGAAAACTTTCTAATGATAAGATTAGCTGAGCATTGCAATAGGCTCTGCAGCCTAAGGAGTTGCAGAATCTCCATTTATTTCAGGTCCTTAAGGTCAGACTGGAGAAACATATGTCTGAAGTTGTGCAGATGCAGTTGAACATGGCTTGGAGAAGGTGGATAAACTTTGGTCAACTCTTTCCAGTCTTTTTTTTAGATGATCCTATGGTCATATCTGAGACCCTAATTCATAGTGAAAACACAGATACCACTCTAGCAAATATAGATTTTTTTTTAAATTTTCAAGATGAGACATATGATATGACGTCACTATCCTGTATCTTTTCTTACTTTACTATACACGCCATAAATCTAAAGTTTTTCTTGCTTTTCATTCCTGGCATTAGTTTTAGTATAGCTTTCTCCGATCACCTGCGCATTTTCTCACAGCTTGCAGAGAACCAGGAGAGAGAGATTTTCAGTGAAGCTGTCTTGTCTCAGAAACTGCACAGATGCAGTTCTAGGTAGGATAAGAAAGCCAATCATCTTCTGAATCATAACTGCCAATTACCTTAACTTCCCAATTGCCTGGGAAACTGTTACAAATGTACTTTTCTTCCAAAGCACCGTTCTTAAGGTTTACCAGGCTTGGTTAAACAAACAAACAAAAAACAGTATGGGGGTTCTGAATTTGTACACCTCATCTATCTAGTTGTTTTCTACAGTATGAAATACCAGAAGGGAGCAGGCAGTTTCAAAGCATATAAAACAATATATACCAATAGAGCTAAAGTGGCATCAAGAAAAATGATGCTACCTGGAGTGGCTGTTTTTCAGCATCTTTTACCCTATCTGGTTCTATGAAGTAGATTGACTGCATCCTAAGAAGAGCCTTTGATTTCATTTTATTTTGTGCAGCCCTTTGACAAAGAGCTAAAGAGGGAAGAAAAATTAACCCATCATCCACAAGACGAATAAAAAGGAGTTGAAAAAAAAAATCTCATGAGCAAGTATTTTACTGCTTCAGGGATAAAGCAGCAGAAAGTGTTTTATACTGGCACAGGCAAAGGCCAATATGTGACAAGGTGACATTCCTTTAAAATATTTCTTATTTCAATTGTTTAACCTTCTCTTTGCTGACAAATCTCCCTTTTTTTTACTCCTTCTGTAATGAAAGTCCCTGGCATGTTAGGCTAATTGAAATGACAGGCAAATGTTAAAAGGAAAATTGATTCTTTGTCACTGGAGCAGACCCAAGTGTTTGAAAGGAAATGTTAGGTGAGGAAACAAAAAGTTTGTATTAACCTGTTAGAAACCAAGATCTTTTGCAAGAAGCTAATTGTGTGACTCTCTCATATTTGGAACTCCAGGAAGAGATCTCTTTTGCTTTGATACAATTTTGCCTGCTCATCAAGCTGGGCATATTGCAAACACAGGAAATTTTGAGGATTGGTTCTTTTTCAGGTATGTTTTAGCTTTGTTTTCAGATCAGAAGGGCTTAGGGCCAGTGTGGCAACTTCAGGGCTGAGGTCCTTGTCTGCTGCTCAGCTGCTAATTGTATCCCAACCATAAGATCTCAAACCAGTGACCCAGATGGGTTTGGTGGTAAGTGCTGAAGCTTTTATGTCAGTGTCTGACCGTCCCAGGCTCTGCCATTCCAGGAGGAGATCTGCAGTATTTGGGGTGGCTCGCAAAGGCAGGCAGTTATTTCATTAACTGTGGAAGTCATGGAAAAATCACTGTAAATTTATCTGGTGCTCACTAGAAAAAAAATTTGGGCATTCTTGATTGTTGAGCAGTAAGGAGGTTTGCTGATCCTAAATGCTGTGTTTCCCACTCCAGGAGGTATTTTAGACTGTAGATTGTGCTTGATAGCTGTATTAATAAGTAGAGCTTAAGTGCCCGTCTAGCCTGTTTGACTTTCAAATTAATCCTCGGAAATGCTACCTCATGAATATTAAAATTCAGCCTCCTGTTCCATGATCGATATATTAATTTTTATGTATGACCTCACGAACTTCCAGCCTGTCAAGCCATGGGCATTCGTCCAATATTCTTGTGTAAATGTCAAGACAGATGGTTCTCAAAGCTCTGTAATATTTCACATAATAATAGAAGTGTCTGCCTTCACTGACCTCAGCATATCAGCAGTGAAAACCTAGGCCAATGTTTGCTAAATGGGACAAACTGACTTGGCATTATGACAGTGGAAATGAGATTGGCTAAAAAGTGCAGCGAACCCTGTGTGAGTGTGTGTGGAGCCAAGACAACTGTTAGCTAGGGCAAACCAGTCCCCCAGGAAAGTTAGTCTCCATGGAAGGGACAGGATGTATTCAGAAACAAATAGAGAGAGACTCAAGCTAGATGAACTAAACCCGTCGGATTAGCCAGGCTAATTTCCAGAAGAGGTCATTTGTGCATTTTGTTTCAAGGACTCCTGATCTTCTGAGGACAAAAGCAATGGACCATCTCTGTGTTAGGTGGAAATGGGTGGGACTTTGTAAGGTTGAGTCACTGATTCGCAGTTTTTTTATGGAGCATGTCCTGCTGTTTTATAAATCAGAATTGCCCTATATATCACTGTTTTAGAACTACTTACGCAGAGGTCTTCTTTGGAAGAATGAAATCTCTTGCAGAATGAAATGCCTTCTTAAAATTGCATTTCATTACTGTTACTGAGGCTTACATGTTTTAGTCAATAAGTGCATTAATGTGAAAAAGTGTTATTCAATTTACTTAATTTTAGATATCTTCAGTACAGACATCTGTGTTTGAGCTAGTCACCCAAACACTTCCATAGCTGATGGAAAAACACAGATGTTTCTAGGACCTGATTCATCCCACTGTACTGCATGTGTCTCATATATAGGCCAGATGAACCTTGCCCATTTCTTTACATGATCTCTGAATGGAGTCAAAGTGACTGGCTTAGATACGGATGTCTTCACTGTAGCCTTCAAAAGTAAAACAAAATGAACTCCTCCCTCCCCATTTTCTTCCCTATTACATGAAATGCAAGCTCAAGAGGAGAGAAATGCAGTGTCCCAGCCAGTAGGTGAGACTGGCCAAGCAATTCAGACTAGAGAGTTGTTTAATGATACCTGAGAAACAACGCTTATTTATTTGGAATTCACTTTGAAGGACTAAATACTGAAATGCTTTCAGGTCAAAGTACCCTTTGAAATGCTAATTTGCTGAAATTGGCCTTTACCACCAGCAGATATTTGTATATCAAAGAGCTTTCTTGTACCCCTTCTATCAGTCTACATAAAACTGAGATTACACTCGTGTTGTATTTTTAATGTAGATTCCCAGTAAAATCATCTTCCGCGTCATTAATGTTTTATTGTTTTTAGCCTAGTATGGGTTACCTATTGTGATGCTTAGTATTGCACAGAGAAGTTAGTCTTCATTATTCATTCTAGTGTTTAGTTTCCCCAGCATTTCTACAAAAAAGTTTATAGAGCTTGTGTCAGAAATAAAAACTGGTTTTGCTGCCTATCTTAACAGTAGTCAAGCCTGATGAATTGTTCCTTCTCACGCACCAGGGAGTAAAGCTTCCTGTAGAGTATGTGCTGAAGGGCACAAAGCCCATGCCCCATGGAGGAATCTTGATTTTCCTTTGCACCTTTCCTTGTGTGGATCACTTTTAAGAACACTGCATAATGTCTCACCACTAAGCAAATGTCTCGCTTAGCAGCTTGTCCACTTAGTCGCTGCCCGCAGCCAAGGTGCCTGAGTGGCAGTGCCAGAATAGTCAAAACTGACGTTTCCTGCAATACTTGTCGTGCCGTGCTGGCTCAGCTAAAGAGCTGAGATGACATTCTGTGAGGCATCTTTGAATGAAAACAATTTTGTGATTAAAAAAAGTTGGTCTCAGAGGGAAGTTTAGTAGGCTATGACAATAATTTTCTTTTATTCTTGACTCATTCCATTTACTAAAACAATAAAAAACCCATCCAAGGGATAAGGACTGCCACCACAAAGGTTTTAGGTGACCAGCGACAAATCTAAAGTAATAAACTTCAGATTTTATATTGGACACAGGAATGAGTCTTCTGTTAGGAAAATATTTTTAGAATAAAATTGAATGTCAGAAGCACACATGGTACAAATTTGTCAAATATGTTCACTTACCAGCCCTGCAAAAATAAACAGACTCATAAAAATTCCAATCTGAGTAAAAACAATTTGTAAACAACATATAGGCCCAAACTCCCCGAACATAAATTGATCGCAACAAGTTATTGTGTCTGTTGTGTTTCTTGCCATTTGCCATCTGTTTTTAGTAATTGATACTCCTTCAAAGTACCCTGAAGAAATAGACTTTGTAGCACTCCACTTTTTCCAGATGTCTATTTTATTTTGGAAACATTTGACTATCCCATCACAGGTAATCAGCGAATTCGAAGCCTCTCCTGACTCATTTTCCTACAGAATCCCTAACCTAAGTCGGAATCGACAGTACAGCGTCTGGGTGGTGGCAGTGACTGCTGCAGGAAGAGGCAACAGCAGCGAAATTATCACTGTGGAACCGCTAGCTAAAGGTATGGCAACAGCACTTTTTAAAGTAATCCAAAACTTCAGAATGCTAATTACTGGTATAACTGGCATGTGGTTTCTTTGTATTTCACTGCTTATTAAGAGTGGGATTTGACGGGAGTAACTTCAGTTCTCTCCAAAAGTTAGATACCAACTCTGCTAATTGCCCAAGCTTTTGCTATAGTCAGCAGAGAGAGAAAGAATGATGTACTCCTCTAGGGGCTAATTCATCCCACCTACCTTAGAAGGAAATAAATTGCTTTTTGGAGCATTTTTTATCTTCTTTTTTTTTGGATACAGAGAGATTTCAGATGATGCCCTCCCAAACTGAGCATATATCTATTTTTTTGACTAGATAACTTCTTTATCATTCCTCTCCTTACTGATCTCTTGTGTACTCTACAGGTGCTATTTTCTCTATCAAATGACCTGATTAACATATCTAAACTCTGAGCAATTCTTCTCAACTTGCGTTAGCTTTGAAGTTTGCTGTTTCTATTTCAGATCTTAAGAATCTGAATGTGCCTGAAATGTTGTGTATTTTTTCCAGCTACATTAGTTCTTCTAATAAAAGATATTACTTAAGCTCTTACTTGGCATGCTGCAAGACCACCACATTAGTTTGAAAATAGACAGCTAACTTTTTAGATAGCAAGGCAAGTCCCATCAGTAATGAGCTTTTGGGGTCTTCATTACTGCTCTTTTTTTTTCCCACTCTAATTAAATTGTCATGGCAGTCGCCAGAATGAATGGTTTAGTGCACTTGTCCCTGACATTGCAAAGGTCCATCCATTTGATTGACTTTACAGTCTCATAAGGCTGCTGCTGCTTCAGTCATGTGACTAATGATGTAGTAGTGTAAAAGAAAGTGTCCAGTGCTTTATGATGACAGACACTTTCTCAAAAAACATTCAGCCAAACTTCAGCTAAACTCCACCAACATGAACAACACGCATTTTCTGCATAGAGAAGCTTGCGCCATCACCATGGTCATGTTTCCTGTTCCTAAATACCTAGATGGTAATTAAACAGTTTGATGATATACTATTAGGTGATGGTATTTGTAAGGTAAAATTTTACCGTATGGGATGGGTATTTTTCAACAGTCCTACAAGGAACGTGTAGTAACAATCATGTTACCACTTTGGCTCACAGTGGAAACTTTATCAGTATTGATGTGAGGAGGATCTAACAAAGTTAAATTGGCCTCAGTGGGAACAAACACAGGAATGTTTCCTCCCCATACCATTACTCTTTATGTCAGCTGGGTAGACTCACCTTTAGTTTCTGCTTCTTTCAACAACTGGCATCTTTTAGAAGAGCTTTTCTCAGTGGCTACACATCATTAGTGTAGTGACCTTATGAATGACTAAAAGGCTATGAAAAGTTTGCAGGTTTTCCATTATTATTTTCCAATAGGAAAACTGCCTACTACATTTTGAACACCTGTGAAAATAAAGTTGGGTTGTTAAAAGGTGGATGAGGAGCATAAGGGACATCTGAAAGGGAAGCCTCTGAGAAATGCCTCAAAGAAACAGGGCAAAGGGTTTCAACATGCTTCTCTTTTGTGCCATCAGTTACTTATGCATAGTGAATGAGTGATGCATTCATACTGAAGTCAACAAAAATAGACATGACACATTGATGCCTACATAAATTCAGAAATAATTAGACAATAATATGATATAATACTAGTAAATTAGGGACATAGACAGGCCTGGTACTGTGCAGGGGCCCAAAGTTCACAGATATCCAGATGAGTTGAACTGGTTGTGAAGAAATGCAGGATGTGATAGAACTAGGATTGCCAAAAATAGAAAAGTTACAAAATGATCCACTTGTACCTAAACTGAACAAATTTTCTATAATCTGGAATTAAACCTGCCCCAGGAAAGCTTATTAGTATGATCCATAAGGCTCGAAAAATCATTTTAAAATATCTTTTTTAAGGAAAAGTAGCTAATTACTTCAATATAATCAAGTCAGCATACACCAGATTTTATTCTGAAGGACAACAGAATGCATCCAGCCAATATTAAAGTAATGATACTCCAGTATAAAATCTACATTAGATGATAGTGCTCAAGACAAGCCTGTTACAGGCATTCTCTTTGGACTGGAAAAGTCATGAATAACCCTTTTGTGGAAATTGTGATCAGTACTATGAATACAGATATGTAGCAATTTTATGAACCCTGGATATAGTCAGGTTAGAAATTATTATAGCATATGTGAGATTTCCTGAATAAATGCAAAACTGAATCTTTTAAAGAACTAGGAGAAACGTGGTCATCAGTGGTAAGGACAAACAGATCAATACTGGACAGAGTTAATGGCCTTGAAGACTTTTCTTGCCAAAACATCTAAAGCATGTAACACATCACAGAGTTACAGATAGTTAAAGCCTGATTTTGTCATGTAGAACACAAAAGGCTGGTTTACAGGGCGAAAGAAGTCCCCAGTGCAAAAGCATCCTATGGGCTATTACCATGAAGTCGTTTGCTTCCATCCTTTTCCACTTACTTCACAGTAACTGTTAATGTAATGATACCATGATGACATCTAATGAGAGTTAACTTGAAAATAAATTATGTCAACTTAACTATAACCCCTCACTGAGAATGTCTAGATAGAGGTTTGGTATAAAATGGCTAGCCCAATTTAAATTAAAGCTTAATTCAGGTTAACATTTCTTTCTTTAGTGTCTTCGTATCTCAGAACATGTTGTAATTCCCTGTAATTAACTGACAAAAGTAAGCAAAAAAAAAAAAAAAAGGAAAAGAAAGAAAGTAACCACAGTAACCACAGCAAGCAAAATTAAGTTTCCATGTAAGCACACTTTGCCTCACTGAATCATACTTCAGTGCTGACTTGGAATTTTTGTTTTAGTCTATCAGATATGTCTGAAAGGCAGGAAATCTTACTGGACTTTGTTCCTCTTATTTACTGACCACAGCTATTGCAGAATGGCATTTGTCAATGACATAAAGACGACAGAATTAGGCCTATGGCCATCTAATGCTTTTGCAGAAGTCTTTGTTTTTACGTAAATATTCAGTTTCCCCTGCTTTTGTTGTCTACTTGAACATTACTGCTGAACAGATTTTCCTCATCATCTACCTTCTTTTGCATATTTAATGATTTTAAACAACACATGGGTCTGACATGATATCATGCACACATCATCAGCCTGTTTCCTTAATGATTCATCATGCTGGAGTACACTGTGTATTTTTCTATTAGACCGTAAGTGAAAGAAACTTGAGAGCCATGGTATTCAGCGACATCTCTTGTATTCTAATTAAAGTGAGCTGCAGTGACCTGGCACAGCTCTTGTTCAGAGTTTCCTTATACAGTTTACCTTTCAAATTTAGTTGTATACTCCAGAAAAATAAAGATCAAGTGTGTGATGGCCTCTGTTAAGAAGTTCTGGCTGTTATGACAGTGAGTATAATTAATACAATGCATAATTTAAGTAAACAAACATGCAGAAAACCACATTAGCAGGATAAAGTGAAGTGCTGTTCAGTGAAAGTACCTTTTCACTTTCAATTAATGACTTTGTAATTTGCAGTACATAGGAGCAGATATAGTTCTAATCTAGTACCATGCTATCCAACATAAGAACGGGGTTAGTCTCCAGACATTGGAGGTGTTTTGACAGAAATAATGTAAAGTTCTGGAAGTGAATTGGCTATACACTGTGTAAAGCTCTCAGCTCAAAAAGGAGAGAGGTCTGTGAGACTCAAGGTGTTTAAGTTTGCAAATGCCTATTATAGTTTCAAACCTATCACTTTCAAATGAATTTCACTTGGGATTTAATTAGTTTCTAGTTTTCTTTTATTTGTGTACTTGTTGTCCATCTCAGAAGAAGTTGTAGAAGTGAAGGTATAAAGAAAATTGACATTAAGAATTTTCATGCTATTTTACCAACTCTCTTGCAAGCATGTGAAAGGAACAGATAATGGAAAGCGAACTGTGGGTATTTTCACAAAAATATTGTATGCTTTTGTAACATGCACTGCTGTGTCCAGTGATCTTACCACTGGTTTATGCTTTTGTGAAGTTTGTGTTACTTCTGAACATCATGCTAAAATGAAACACACAGAATATTAAAAACCACGGTCTGAAATAACTGCAAGAGAAATACTGTCCTTTGGAGATCTGTTATCCATCCTAGAACATAAGGAAGAATCCATTGTTGGGAGAAACATTAAAAATAAAGGGAGGTCATAAAATATTTGGTAATAATGATGCCATGTCATGTTGAAGGCTTCAGTAGGATTCCTACAGTTAAAAAAAAAAAAAAAAAGTTCAAGTCAGTTGTCATCAGTTGGAAATAGTCAAACCTTTGAGCAATACCGGAGAGATGGGCAAGTCAGGGACAAAAGGGCTACCAGCTCATTTCAGGTATGATTTCAGACTGCATGTTATGGGGAACAAATATCTACATTTGATATTTCATTTTGTTTTGCTCCATGTTTTTAAAGATACTGCCATTTCCCATGGAACGGGAATACGCATTTCTAACTACAATTATTCAGAAAGGGCTGCTGGAACTAGGAGGGCTCCAGGTGCTTACGGTTGTGCTTTGTAGACAGTCATAGTTGACAACATCTCTTGCTGCATTTAAAGATGGCATGGGTAACATTAAACATCTCCTGCAAAGAAATCCTGGGACCATTGAAAACAAATGAGCCTTCTAACCCTGACTTCAGTGGAGTCAGCATTTCATACTGTGTGTGCACTCTCTAGATAGACTGAGCCCTTTTCTGTTTCAGTTAGTTTAATTAGTCCATGGCTTCTGGCATTACAGGCCTGCATAGACCTTTTCCAGAACATACGCCCTTAAGAGTGCAACAATGGAAAATAAGATTATATCATTGGACATAATGCGTGACTAGTGTCTTTGCATCTTTCTGCTGCCTCCTCAAGGCAGCAAGGCTGTGAGCACCCTCCTGCCAGGTAGACCACCCAAAAGGACCTAGCAAGTAGTATTTAGCAGATGGTTAGTCAGGAATGGACACTGATTTTTCACTGTTAGGAAATAGTTTTGTCCCATTACCTAAACCTGACTTTGTCTCTTACCCTAAATCATTAAAACAGCTGTTTCTTATGCTTTCAATTAAAATTTTAACCTGGGAAAATCTCTTGAGAAGCTTAGCCTTGCACAGTACGTGAAGAGAACATAGCAAGTGCCATCCAAACAGATTGTATAATGTATGGAATAATTTCTTTTTATGAATATCTCAGGTCCCACTGCAACCCACTGAAATAATTTCCCATCAATCTTCAAGGCTTGTTCTTTATGCATGACAGTGCTTGCAGAGGATAAAAAGCTGTTGAGATGAAACGTCCCAGTTATATTTGATGCTGGCTCTCATTTTCATGTTTTTCTAATTGGTGCAAAATGGATTTCTGATCAATGTGCATGACTGAAGTTGGTCAGGATTAAAATACAATATTTGAAGTATCTGCATTTGGTATGTGCCTCTGAAATATGTAATTAAAGGCCAATAAGAATTCTTGGGTCATTCTTGAGTAATTCAAAACATTGAAGCTCCAACATATTCTTACTGTTTTTCTGTACTATGCACTGAAACTACAGGACATTTTTGTTTGTGTATATAGATGAAGTGAGAGCTAATAGGAATAAAACTGATTTAATAGTTTGTTCCCATTTGTGGATTCCAGACGGGCTCTTTTCAATGCACTAACATGTTAGTACATGTAAGTTTATTTTGCTTAATTCATGAGTTATTGTAAAAGGCCTCTCTTTCTTACAGTTAGTTAGAAAATGTCTTACTGTTAGCTAGAAAATGTCGCACTCTAAAAAATAGTTCTGAATTCTGGAGCACTTAAGGGATGTATTAAAATCTCACCATATTTTGGCACTTTAAAATAAATTGAGTTTTCTCAATAAAAAAGACTATTTCCAGGAAATGTGTTAGGCCTGTGCTTCCCAACAAAATATAAAACAGAACTTTCTATTGACTTGTATTGAACTCATTGAGTATAGAAGCCTTAAATGAAAAATATCTGCAATGATCTGCACAGTCTACAGTGAGTTCCTTCATAGCATATTTTCCAAAGAGAGCTCATTCTACTTTCCACATTAGAACTCAGTGTTCTTGTATAGCTTAGTCTCAACAAAAATACCCGACTGATATTAAAAAGAAACATTAATTTTGAGTTCTCTTTTGAAGTCCAGCACAAACTTAATGGATCCAAACTGGAGTGAAAAACAATAAATATTTTAAAGACGTGATTTCTTTTATGATTTTGAGGACATATCTATGCTCTCACATGGATTAATTCTGAGGCATTGAAGAACTTCTGTACATATTCAATCCAATATTTTGGAGAATTATATAAGTTGTTCTGTAACCAGAGTCATGCTCATTTCTGGTAATCCCAACCTACCAGAATGGCTCAGATTTTTCGTTGTGAATGAAAGCTGAATATTCACTGTCAGATCCACACCCTGTCCAAAATGGCAGGCAAAAAAGAAAAAAAAAAAAAAAAGAAAAGAAGAAGGAAAAAAAAAAAACTACCTTGTCCAAACCTGAACTGGAAAATATGCTAGAGCAGGATCTTTTCTTTTTGGATTTCTTTTTTGGATCTTTTTCTTTGGAACCACGGGTACACCAACCCACTAAACTTTATGCTTACCTTTCTGTTCCAGCCTGTAGCTGGCACAATAGATTATCCATAATTCTATCAAATGTTGATGTGCACCATGCTGTGGCTCAACATAATAAGTACTAGACATAATACGATGCAGGACAGCACCATATCACTCATGTCAGTAGATCTGCCTTTTTCATGAATAAATAACCATGTTGGACTGGATATGGTAAAGAACACATCCAAGGAGTGTGCGATAGTCCATGATTTGCACAAACAGTAAGGGGAAGTGTGTTCATTTTAGGTAATCAGGATCACCCAAAAGTAGGGCAGACAGCAGGAAAAGTTGTAACAGAGGCATGGAAAGAGCTTTTTAGGCATTGTGTACTTTAGAGGAGAAGGAAGTTTAAAACAAATGTAGCTACTGAGCCAATGATAGCACAGATTCATCATTAAAGTATCAAAACCCAAAGGAGAAATTGAGAACAAAACATGTAACTTTCACCTCAAGAGTGTAAGCTTTGTTAGGTGAATTCAAGACTTAAAATATTAAGAGTGATATGTCAATAATTTAGCTTGGGTAAGATAGTTGCTTAGAAGTTTGTTTGGAGAGAATATCCCTTTGATGTAATTTTAGTGTGTAATTTCTTTGGCTAGATATATGAAAATCAGCAAAAATATCTTTTTGCCTTTTTCCCCACTCTTCCAGTACTTCTCCTTGTCACTCTTTCAGTTACTTGTCTTCCAACACTAAAAATGTAATATCTGTGCTTGAATGAGAAACTGATATTGTGAGTTAAAAGAAATTTGTTTCCTGAAAGCACAGCTTAAAGCGGATTGGTTTCGTTTTCAATATTTGATGATGGATGTTTATGTTTCCCCTCCAAGGAAGGCGTGAATGAGCACTTCATTTCAATCTTTCTCTCTCCCTTGCTCAGCTCCTGCCAGAATTTTGACATTCAGCGGCACAGTCACAACTCCTTGGATGAAGGACATTGTCCTCCCTTGCAAAGCCGTTGGAGATCCAGCTCCGACAGTCAAATGGATGAAGGATAGGTAACCAGCACCCCATAGCTTAAGTATTTGGTTAACCCATTTGGTTGAAAACTTGACGGTGGCAATGGTTGTGTTCCGGGGTGGTTGTGGCAGGAAAGAGAAGAATTGTTCACTGATACTGCACACAGTCACAGCAGACAAGGAGTTCAAAAATTCCTGGAACTAAAACTGATTGACTGTCAAGATTAGAAGGTATCAAAAAGCAGGAAAGGTTATGAAGAAAGGAAAGGTACATATTCAAAATGTTAAATCTAGAAGTCATTTCTATTTTAACTTTAAGTCCACAAAATAATTTTGGCCCAGGAAAGCGTTTTAATCATTCGCTGGAGTGCAGAATATAAGCAAGTCCTTTACACATATTTTATTTTTCATAATTCTATTTTGATCTTTAATTTTACAGTTAGGGAGAGGCATAGACAAAAATTGTCATACAAGGAGTGAATCAACAGTGGTATTACAGTGCTATGAGGCTATGTTGTACAATGATGCCCATAGCTATTATTTTATAAAAATGGACATTATAGCCAGAGATTATATTTCACTCTGATTTTGTACTCTTACAAAATATTAGATGATTAAGGAAGAAGTGAATACCCGTTTTCACTTGAATTGGGACTGCAGCATCTGCCTTCTTTAAGCAAATGGCAGCTGTTTCCCAGCAGCAAATATTCCTATACTATTTTAATTAAAGAAGATTCCATTCTTGTTTCCTTATTTCTTCACTTCCATCCTCAGTGGGTTGAAAATAATCCAATTCTGAGTAATTTTGATTGTAACTTCTTTAATGTATACACTTTGTTTCCTGTGAGGTAGTAACGGGACACCCAGTCTAGTGATGATTGATGGGCGAAGAAGCATCTTTAGCAATGGCAGCTTTGTCATCCGAACTGTGAAAGCAGAAGACTCTGGATACTACAGCTGTGTGGCCAGTAATAACTGGGGATCAGATGAAATAATTTTGAATTTGCAGGTACAAGGTAAGATTTTTTGACCTATCTCATGGTTGTTATCACAGCTATTAATTGAAAAATACATAGATGTTTTTGCAGGTGTATGTAAAACTAATATTAATGTATGTTAATGTAACATCAATGATTACAGTTGAATAAATAAATAAAAGAATATGCTGGTCATTCTGACTCAGTTATCAATATTTTATGATAAAATAAGTGTTTTGTTTTGCTTTTAGTGGAGCTGTACATACACCTGCAGTTAATTCTGTGTGTCAGTTTTTGCAAGATTGGGAACTGAGTCTTTGCATTCAATTATTTTCCAGTCCTTCACACAGCAAATAGCATCCTAGGCCTTCTCCATATAAAAAGTACTTGTATTCATTTACATTTTGCAAAGTTCAAGAAGAGCTGAAGGCCTTTTCTTTGGCTTCCAATAGACTATCAACAGAAATTTGTCTCTCTACTGAGACCTTGGACAAAAGTTTCATTCTGCAAGAGCATAATTTTTTGGTGGTGCGTATGAGGAAGCTTTTAAAATAATACCAGTACGACTTCAAGCAGTCTTACAAGCTACCTTTCATATGCATTTTGGAATGCATATCTGTTATCATGTTGACAAGTATAATAGCAATGACAATATAGGAATACATATTAATAATAATGTGAACTATAATCACATAATTATTTACATTCACATAAAAAGAATTCATGACTTTCTAGATTTCATTGCTGACTGTACTATAGCAAGATGTAAACAAATACTCAGACCCTAAACATGCTTCAATTTCCAGCAAATAACCAATTGAGATGTGAGCTATTCTGTGTCTAGTCTCTCTCTTTCATCCCTAGACAGGCAATCTAAATTTTCAGAGGAAGCAGCCCCTCATTTTAGAGCACAGAAGAAAATGATTTCAACCACAGTGTAACTCTCTCTGTATAAACCAATCCATTAAGCCATGAAGCAAATGTCACAGTGTTTATTAGCTTATCTAAAATCCAACAGAGAGCCTAAAGATGCTTATTTGCAATGGCTGAAGCCTGTCCACAATAGGAAATAAGAAGAGAAGCACTATCAAATGGAAAGCTTATATTTATATTTCACTAAGTACTTTCATAAACAC